CCCCCTCGCCCCGGCCTCGAGTCCCCGGCTCATCCTTTTTTCTCCGGCGCCTGCTTGGAATACCCTGTCAGTGAAGGGCGGTCAATGCCGTTCGGCCCCAAGTGATGCGGCCGGGGCTGCCTCCGATGGTATTTAAACAGAAAGCGGCTCTCCGCGCAGCGAGAGCGCATCCCCGGGGTCGGCCGCTTCGCCCTGCCTTGCTCACGCACTGACTCGGGTTCCTGCTGTGGACCCAGGGCACAAATGCGGTCCCTTCTTGTGGGGGACCAGGAAATGCAATCTGCATTCCCAGAAGGAGAAGAGCAAGGAGGAGCTGGCTGGACCTCCCTTCACTTCGGTTGCCTTTGGTTTGGAAGACAACTTCGCCGATCCGCTTGCCCATGAGCAGTCTATTGTTGTGATTCAGACCCCAGGCTTTGCTTTTGAAGGACTAGATGAGAGGCTTCTTGCTGCAGCTGGAGGCTGTAGAGATGTTTGGTAGCATCTTGAATGTTAAAGTTTCCAACTTTGTCCTCATCACTGGTATTCAGAAAACAGCCTGGGAATGTAAATGCATGCAGACTCTGGCCAGATGCGGTTCTTTTGTGCTTATCTGTTGGTATCTTTCTGTTGGTACTTAGGTGGTCAACAAGACAGAATGAAAAAAGAGTCTGATTAGTAAATAGCATAGATAATGAAAGCATAGGAACAAATGCCTCTGGAAAATATCAATTCTATTTTCGGGGAGGCCGGTTTACTAATCCTGCTGAACTGATGAAGAGAAAGGCTAACTCATGGATTATGTAGTGGACAGGATGTGAGGGCAGGAGCAAGGGCTGGGAGCCAGCAGGCCAGCTGCTTTTGCAGGGCGCTTCTCTAACGCTTCTAACAGGAGGAATGTATTTGTTGGGATACTCTTATTTTTAGATGACGTTAGCGTGAAGCGTGCAGACGTTTCAGCAACCATTGTTATCATTTCTGTTACATTTTTTTTACTAGTTTGCTTGAAGCGTGTGTGTGTGTGTGTGTGTGTGTGTGTGTGTGTGTTTGCTTATAACTTAACTTTTTAAAAAGGAAAATCTTTTGTAGGAGATAGGTAAAGAACTCAGGAAATTGGGAAGGGTTTAAATTAAGAAGTGAGGGACACTGATTTGGTGGCCGGGCTAAAGGCATTCAAACACCTTTAAGCCACAGTAAGCCTTTCTGAGAGTACATGTCAAAAAATGATATTTCCTAAAAAAGTGTCTGTTGAAATTGCTGAGGAGCGTGGTACTGCCGCCACAAAACTATTATTATTCTGCCTGAGTAAGGGAGGAAATGAAGACATTTTTAATGTACTTTGGAACTCTGTCGCTTGCCCAGATGCCGAGCATTGTGAAATAGGTCAGAAAATGAGTGGTGGCAAGTTAGTTCCCCGAAATGTTTGTCCCTCAGCATTTTTTGTTGTTTTGTTTCTTTTGCTAGCCATTTCCTTTTCCTCTGGGCATTCTTTTATCTTTTCCCCAAATACCTAGATTGAGACACACCCTTAGAACACTTAGAAGAGATTAAAAGAGAGGCCCTAGGAAATTCCTCCGCTCACGAGGGTTCTCTTTTGGTGATTGAACCAGGGCTTGGAGCATGTCAAGCATGTGCCCTGTCACCTGGCTACACCCCCTGCCTCACATTCATCTTTGTGTGTGGTGCTGACGTTTGAACCTTGGGCCTTGTGACGATAGGCTGAGCTACGTCTGGAGTCTCATCTTTTTTTTTTTTTTTTAGTTTGCTAAGTTTGTGACTTACAGAAAATCAATTACGTGAAAGTTGAGTTTGTGTTAGAGTTCTCTTTTTAGTGATGCCTTCCCAAATGGCTGCTCCATTTACTGGCTGCATTTCGGAGTCTGGACCTCAGATATCTTTACATCCAGGTCACAAGCTCTGTCCGTCCACCTGAGTCAGACAATGGGAAGTAGTCAGTATTCTCAATGTTTTCTAGGAATTTCTCCAGGGCAGGGAAATTTGGAGAACCTTGGCAGCATGCTTCTTTCTTATGGAGTGTCCCCTGACGTGGATAGCAAGCTTTCCAAGTGGCAGAAGTTTTACATGTTAGTTAGGCTGTTAGTAAACTACCAGCCATGGTCTTCAGGAATAATTGGGTAGAGCTTGCGTTACTGTGATCTCTGTGGGAACTGAAATAGTGCCCAGAGGAACTCTCTTCTATCGTTGCTGAGTGAGTGTGTGAACCACATTGCAGTGAGCCTGGGCAGTAAAGTCTTCACCTGCCAAGGTAGTTGCATTACAAGGTAGTCACAAGCCCTGGATCCTAGTCATGTCTGTAAGCTTGACTGATATTGAACGTCGAGTCTTTCTGGTTAATATGCTGGGAAGAAGTCTAGCAAAATGTTGACCTAAGCACTCAAAAATTGAAGTTGCAGTTAGTGGCTAATCATTTCACACACACTTTGTAAAATGATGATAATCCTAATATTGTAAGAATCAGTGCCAGGAAATCTAGACAAGTGGTATCTTTCTAATTTTACTTTCACGATTGTGACCTTCTCTCTCCTTTACAAAGTCTGCCACAGGACCTATAAATTACAGGTTTTATGTGGGCGAGGGCTAGATAGTTATGATGCTAAAACTGGAGAATATGGAGTTTTATCACATTGTCAGTGACTTAGATGTAGCACCAAACCTCTCAGTGCCTCAGTTTTCTTTGCTGAAAATGGGAAGAATGGTAGCAGAGTTTACATACCTTTAAGTAGCCCAGGCTTGCCTCCAATTGCTGAGATTTCAAGCATATGCCCTCATGTCCTATACTTAAACACAGCCAGTGATTAAGTAGTAGTTCAAACTGATGATAAAGAGTTGGAGTGTATAATATATAAAATTCAAAAACTAGCACTCATATGGTTTCTATACTGCTTTACTTTGTGGTCACAAGTAGAAACTCACTGTTTGCAGAGGAAGGCTCTTGATAATTTCTTTGCTAAATATGTGTACTTAATAAACTATCAAGGATTATATACATGTAATAAAATAAAGATTCATGATCACTTTCATCTTAATTTTATTACTTTAAATCTTAATCAGTTTAGAGTGAATAGCCTTTGTGTTTAAAAAAAATCACATTTAGAGAAATTAAAAAACAAAAGCAAACACAAGGAAAACTATGAAATACCCATAAATCCATGACCCGAGTTCTACATACCTGATCATTTTTGTGTGTGCATTTGACTATTCACATACAGCTTTTGGTACTAAACTGGGATCTGGCTATGCATGTCTGTTTCCGTCTTCCTCTTCTTCCTTCTTCAAGAACCTGTCTAGCCTAGGCTGGCTTCTAACTTGCAATGATTCTTTTCTACACTGACTAAAAGAAGCACTAAAAAGGTATCATCATCCCCTGCCCCCCCCCCACTCTAGGACTTGAACCCAGGACCTCTACCACTGAGCCAGTTCCTTTTTCTTTTCATCCTTTTCCTCTCTGACTCAGGGAAGGTGAGAAAGAGAGTGTGTCTTGCCGTGTAGACCAGGCTAGCCTCAGTCTAGATCCTCTTACCTGTGCTTCCCCGCTGTTGGAGTTCAAGCACACACCAACCACTATACCCAGCTCATAAATTTATTTTTTAACTTATTTTCTCAACATCTAAAAAAAAGTCTCTCTATGTCTATATTTGTCAACTTAAGAGCTAGATAATACATCACTCTATGGATCTATGAGAATTTGGTCAATTTGTTAGACATTAGGTTATCATTTCCCACCATTGTGTTAACAACATCTGCAATGACTGGCTCTCCTCGAGTGTTTCTTTTTCTTTTTTGAAATTTTATTAATTTTTAAAAAATTTTATGTATATGAGTGTTTTTCCTGCATGTAGTTTTCTGAACCATGTGCATGGTAGGTGCCCGAGGAGGCCAGAAGAAGGTGTGGGGGATCCCCTGGTTCCAGAGTTACAGATGGTTATGAGTCACCATGTGGGTGCTAGGATTGAACCTGTATCCCCTTGGGAGAGTAGTGCCTCTCCTGTCC